AACAAACAAACAAACAAACAAATAAATAAACAAACAAATAAACAAACGACTGTCAAGTATAAATATTTTTAAAAAATGTTAGAATTTGTGAGAGAAAAGAGAGAAAGAGAGAAAAGGAAGATAAATTTACAAAAATATGTGTAAAATTCAAGAAGTTATCCATACCGATGCAAGTTGAAAATGTTTGGTTCGCTCGTCGTCAGTGGTAGGCAACGATTCCACTAACCACGTGTTTTATGAAATCACGTGACAACCGACTCGGGAAAGTGTTTCAATTTTTTTTCAAGAAAAGTGTTTAAATTTTTTCCAAAAAAGTGTTTACATTTTTTTCAAGAAAAGTTTTTAATTTTTTTTTCAAATTTCACAAAAACATGTTAAAAAAATCTTTAGCGTTTAAAACTGTAAATACTGTTTAAAAAAATTACATATTTTATCCCAAAAGTATTTGAAAAAGGATGGCCCTTAACGTGCTCCGTAGCTCCGTTCAATTATGAATTCTTTGAAAACCCACTCGTTCAAATTCATTCGAAAAAATATGATTTCCTATACAAAAGCCAGAAACTAATGCTATATGACACCATAGGATGTTGACAGCCATCTCCGTTATACTAGTCATGATTCATGGTGATAACACTCATTCACAGTTGAGTTTTTTCTCAATAGCCTAAAGCACCAGTTGAAGTGCTTCCGTGCTCTGCTTATCTCACTCATTACTCATTAGTCAATTCAAACAATTAAAGCTAATGACTGTTCCGAGTCTTAACTGGCGAGAGAAAAATAAGTTTTGACACTTTTAGAGCAAGTTTTTCAATTGAGTATTGGAAATAAATTCAAATTAGGAAGTGTCATTCGAGGAGACAATTGCAACAAATGACACAAGGAAAACTCGTTATCATGAAAATTTGGGTTCAATGGTTGTCGGGGGACCCATGTGTTGCGGTTGACAAATGGCCACAAGGTAATGAAGAACATTGAACTTAAGTATGACAATGAGAAATCGGTATCCTCATACATAAGAAGTGATTCTATTTTGGTGGGAAAAACATGGCTGGCGAGACAGAAGAGTTCTGAGCCTGTATTTCTCTTGGTCTCAGTTCCACCACGAAACGGAGCACAGGCAAACCAAGCAATGACTTTGAGAAGTTCGTATAGTTTTGAAAAGGAAATGAAAATACAAAAACTCAATAAATATTTAGTTAAACACATTTAACTGCCTACTTTTGAACGTTCGATTTGAGCCCACGATGTGCGCACGCTCAAAAACCGCTGAAAAATCTACAAGATTTTATTGAAGAACCATACGCGTTTTGAGCTTTGACAGGGCAAAACTCTCAAATTTTGACCGGGACTCTCTATTTTTTAATAGCTCATTCGAAAAAAACTCCTAAAAATCTAGGTTATATTAACATTTTAGAAAGAGTTTATATTTCTAACACATGAAAAAATAAATTTTTGTAGGGATTTTTGTTCGACTTTATGAGATTTTTTAAGAGCACCGAAACTACAAAATATGACAAATCAATGTATCTCTTTGTCTTTTTGTCGAAAATATCCATGTATTATTGTAGAATGATTGACTAGCCTTCATTCGTGCAATCATAGAGTCTGCAAATAACTATTATCTTATGAATCTTAATTTTTTTCTAATCACTTCCGGTGGCGCAATTTTTACTCCAAAAGCTCGTGCGTAGGCTTCCATTAAATGCTGATTATCTCAAAAACGAGCTTGGAACACCCTATTTTTCTTTCCAGATTTGGAATCAACATTAAATTTCAATTCGGAAAATCGATGTTTTTAAAAAAGTTTAATCGTTTTCCAAAAGTAGGCAGTCACCTTAAATGACAATTGTATGACTCTCTATTGATTCTTAGCACATAAAGTTCTCGTTCGGGCTGCCTCTGGGCGGAGAATGATTAAAAGAAACATGTGCTTTGGGAACAAAAATGTCATGTCGATGGAAGGGAAATCAGATCAGATGGCATGAGATTATATCGACGGGAAATATGTTGGCGAAGACTGCGGATTCTTAATTAAATGCCTTCCACGATGAAGCATCTATTGCAGTGATTGGATGTAATCAGTGTGTTATGGCGATTTTTGTGCCTATGCTGGTCTTGTTATTCTAGTTGAATTCTCTGAAATGTCGGTAAAATCGATTCAAAATGAAATGCGCAAACGCACTGCTCCATCAAGAATATATATATTCACTCGTCAACACAAAGCATTAAATAGATGCTGCAAGTTAGTTTTAATTCAAAGAATGATTCAAATAAGAACCTTCGGGCCTCGGTTGAATGCTTTGTATTAACAAGTGAACCCTTTATGTAAGGTGACGAAATGAGAACGAGGACGTCGTCAAGTTGAAAAAAGATTCGCATAAACAAACCAAAAATCCATTGTGCCTGTGACAAAAGTGAAGCCAGTTGGTTCCTAACTGACAAAAAAACAATTGACGGTTTTCACAGCCGCCATGCTGGATGAATTTTTTAAAAAATTCGTCATTAGTCTCTTTTATTATGTCATCCAACATGGCCGCCATGTCTTTTGTTATTTCATTCTCTTGGGTATGATTGAAAACGAAGTAAATTTGAAGGAAAGCAAAAACGGACGCGATATGCTTTTTACTAATTTACAGAATCACTGTTTTGAATTGCGCACACGTTCCGGTCTATCTTCCCAACATGCGCGGTGCATTGACTGTCAGAAGGTACATGCATCAAGAGTTCCGCGCTAATGCTCTAAGCGCATGCTCAAGGGATCAAAAAGAGGGAGCATGGGTTCTAGAAACGGCAAAAAAATTTGATCGTATTTTTCTAATCAAGCACAATATTTTATTAAATATTCAATTGCAAGTAGCATTAAGCTAATTAAAAAACAAAATATACCAAAATATAGCAATTTTTACAGCCGACGATCCCGCCCGACCCATTGAGCATGCGCTTAGTGTAGGAGCGCGGAACTTTTGATGCATGTATAGCAGGATACAAAAATATGGTATTACTCACATGCATATGATTCAAGACCGCCCTATCTTAGCTTCTTAACTTGTTTGTACATTTTATATATCTTTCCAAGGTCAAGAAATATATATATAGAGAGAAAAAGAGAGCAGGCAGGAGTTGACATTCAAGTTGGTCTCTAATGATTATCATATTATAAGGATACTAGAGTAAAACCAGTGCCTCATTTAAAGGATTATGTTTCCAGTAGTGAGAGAAAAAAGCTTTAAATTTTATTTTTGGTAACTTTGAATAATAATTCAAAACCCACCTGACCGCTATTGTGACGTAAAGTTGTGATAGAAATAAATGCAATACGGAATCATTTGAAAAAGTCGGAATTCAACACTTTAAGTCTTTTAAAACTTTATGATTATTTGTCATCTTTGTATATTGGGTTTCCTGTGGTTCAACTTTTCTTTCGGCCAGTTTGGGCTTCCTGTGGTGAAATGTTGGTGGCAGGGAAAGGGCAGGGGAAATGGGATAAGAATCGTTGCTGGGAAAAAAGAAATGTTAAGATTTCAGATTTGAATATTGTAATATTCATGTTATTTTTGGATAAAGAGGACACTTTCAAAAAAGAAAAAAATACATATAGAATTTAAAACCGGTATACACATATTAAAAGGAATGGATTATAATCATTCTATTCTCTAATATTAGGATTCACTTCATATTTATTTAGTACTGAAATAAATACATTCGTAAATAAAGTAAATAAAGATTGGGTACGGTAACGGAATCCCCATAAAGAAATTTATACATCGTTTGACACCTATTTCTACATCTTCAGGGGATGTAGCTCAGTGGTAGAGCGTCCGCTTTGCATGCGGAAGGCCCGGGGTTCGATACCCCGCATCTCCAAATTTTTACTTTAGTTTTATCAAAAGAGGACGCCGCTCAATAGTTATATTTTTGGCCACTCTTTCAAATTGAGGCGTCGTACTAGCTCTTTCGAAATAAAATAAGTTATCATTTCCAATTAACGTTTTTTTTGTCAACATATGTTTTACAAAAAAAGTATAAGCTTACAAAAGATTTACTGTACCTGTGCGACCTGTGAGTCAAACATTTGAAATCTTTTTGCAAGAAGAAAATAATAACAAGCATGCAGAAAGTTCCTTTCACTGTTTTACAAATTCTATGAAAGAAATCAAAATTTTTTAAATAAATAAACGCCATATGATGAACTGAAAACGCAGACAAGAAAACAAACAGCTCGATGGTATCTTGAAAAGTATTTACAACAGCTTTTAAATTATCGTAAAGTATCCTGATAAATGATGAAAGAGATATCAATAAAATATTAAATAATTTAATAATTAGTAATTGGGTACCCTGTGTTACCCCAGTCCCGACGAGTTATCACGTGACCAGTCAGGTTACCACCGAATAAGGGCGCTACTGCGCATGTGTAAGAGGTATCTGCTCTTCCACATGCAATAACATGGACGTCTTTCCCGTTGGTTTTTATTGATTTTCAAGCTTTAAAAGCTTCCTAAACATTTTCTGTCAACCTCAGAAGGAATCTGAGTGATGCTGGTTTCATATGTTCTTCAACGGTAAGCTTAGCTTGAATGTGAATGGTTCTGCGATTCACTTTTCCGAGGCTGGTTGAAGCCATTTTGGAGTGCGTTCGGGAAATGTCAAATCAATAGCTTGAATATTCGTGAAAATATTCTATTAATGGACTGCCCTTCAAGCTCGATATATAGTTTATAAAACGCTATAACTATGTCACATAAGTATTCTGTCCTATAGTTTCTCCATCATGCATAGTTTGTCTTCAAAACTATTGTCCAAATCTACGTTGTGGCTTTCGTTCATTCTTCTTCCGGTATTTAACACGAAAATGCGCGTAGATTTCCACCGAAAAAAAAAGATTCCTTCAGACCTAGAACACCCTTTGGTATAAGTTTTAATACTGTTAAGAAATAGGATTTATTTAAGTTCTCTGAGTAGCCATCGCAAAGAAAAGAAGAGCTGTAGTTGTGCAGTGATCATTAATGATGAGGCTTCGCCATAACTTGATTATTATTTTTTAGTTTTAATTTTACTAAGAATTACGAACCTCATTAATATAAAGAGATACCTGAGATACCTTAAAAGCAGATATAAATCCTCAAACCTCTAGGAACTGTGTCTTGGAAGATAACTGAATTACATCGAACTAATAAGCTGGACGCTTTTCAACTAGAACTACACCGTTTCCTGTCTAGTAGGTTATAAAATTTTTTATTTTTTACCAACTTGGAAAAATGTCAAATTGAAAGAAGAGGAATCTTTCATTAGATCTAAGTTTATTTTCAAATGCTTCGTAGAAGATAATACCAATAAAGTTTTATTTGTTTTTAAAGTTTAGATTCCATCGACTTAAAATGTGTGCTTATACATTCTATGTTGAATTCTATGTTCAATCCTTGTTGAAGACATTCAATATTTCTTCTTTCCAAACTTGAGCTTTGTACAAAAAAAATTTTATGACGTTATTGATACATATAAAAGTATTATTGGAATTAATTAGTATTGTTTTAATTTTAATTTATTACTAGTCTAAAGATGCTTTTTTATAAATTTTGATGACACTTTTGTTTGTTTTGTGAAAGTCTTTTTGTTATTTGTTTGTATTGTGGAAGTCTTTTTGTTATTTGTTTATCTTGAAAACAAGCAATAAAAATTAAAACAGTTGATAGATAGATAATTTGTAACACTGTATGGTATGTAAAAATGAAACTGATGTTTCGGACATTAGTCCTTCATCGGAGTGTGAAGTGTGCTTATACTCCGATGAAGGACTAATGTCCGAAACGTCAGTTTCATTTTTACATGCCATACGGTGTTACAAATTATCTAGCTATCAACTGTTTTACTGAAAACACTGACGCAGTTTACACTAGTTTTCACTAGTTTTCCACCTTATTCAATGAAAATTAAACATTACACATTGAATTGGAAAAGCAGAAAAAAATTATATTTTCTTTATTTTCTTACCCTATCCATACCAATAGACCTATCCTGAATTCGCTTGACTGGTCACGAAACAATGGTTACAAGTTGAGGTTGAACTCGATGAATAAAAGAATCAAGTTCAGTCTCTACTTCAAACCATGGTTTCATGGTCAGTCAAGCGAATTCGGGATAGTTCTATTTGTTAAAAATGCTTGGCCATGTGTATATTTATATATTACCTACATGTAGTATGCTTTGCAGTTATAATGATTGAGTATATAATATGAGTTCCTTAAATTTTTTATTTCAGTAACACAAAAGCTGCAAAAAATATCTGAAGGGGAAGACAACTCAAACAATCAATTTTTACCTTTTTGATAGGTGCAAAATACTCCAAATCTTTTTGTATTTATGTGTGGAAACAAACTTGTGTTTAAAGACTTTCATGTGAAATATAATGACTGTATCTGTAAAAGGAGGGGGACAAGGGGAACAGACCCCACCCAATCCACCAGCAACAACACCTAAGAATGCCGAACCCAGTGCTCCTGCAACTTCAGGTGAGGAGCAGCCACCAAATGAGAACGAACTGGCACAACAGGACAATGAACTAGCAGAAAACAATGAACTGCTTTTGCCATCAGGAGAACCGTTTTTTCCAGTCGCTGAACTGGCAAAACTGGATGAAATGATAAATAGACAGAGATGGGTAGTACCTGTGTTACCTAAAGGAGAGCTTGAAGTTTTACTAGAAGCTTCCATTAAACTATGTAAAGCTGGTATGTATTTGATCTTATTTTAAAAATGCTTTGTTTGTGTAGCAAGTATATTGGGATTACAGTGGAACTCTTTCACATTGTAGTCTATTGTTTCTTGTGGTACTCTTGATGCTTGATCGCTTGATTGGTTGGCTGTCGAAGACCAAATATCTGAAATATAATGCATTATTTTGTTTGTGTCTTGGAAAGCTCTTAAAGTATAATACTAATTACTGGAATTACCTAAGGGCAAATATAAGATATATTAGTAGACATGAAGTATCACTATAGTAAGTGATTAAAATAACGACTGTTCAGTGACTAGTCATAATCACTAGCCAAGTTAGTTTTAGCTTGGTCATACTTATTTCTGGGTCAAAATTACTGATCGAAATGACCAGCAAGGCAAAGATTTGACCAGACAAATTCCAATTCTGGCTGGATATTCTCCAATGACTGGCTGTTATTTTAAGCCCTAATAATATTATTAATGTCGATACTGGTAGGTGAGTGGTGATGGGTAGTATGAGGTGAGTGGTGGTGGGTAGTATGAGGTGAGTGGTGGTGGGTAGTAGCAGGTGAGTGGTGGTAGGTAGTATGAGGTGAGTGGTGGTGGGTAGTAGTAGGTGAGTGGTGGTAGGTAGTATGAGGTGAGTGGTGATGGGTAGTATGAGGTGAGTGGTGGTGGGTAGTAGCAGGTGAGTGGTGGTGGGTAGTAGCAGGTGAGTG